AAAAAAAGTTTGAAAATAAATAGCCTATTAAGTCTAAATATTTAAGTATTTGGCGCTGTGATGAACATCATAGCAAATACACAAATCTGAATGGCTGTTTAAATAATATAAACACGATTCAGAAGCAAAAAGTAGTGCAGCTGCTTTGTTTACAGGGTTTACAGGGTAACGGCTGCATTTAAATGAATTATTATTATTATTATTGCTGCAGTTTAGCACCATCTGTTATCAGAGAGTGAAAGTGCGCTTTCCTCCAGAGTCTCTTGCATGTTCCTCCATGTGCTTCTGGTCCGGCTTGTTTACATCAGAGTGTGCACGCTTCTTTCATGCAGCATACAGCGCTGTTGTGCATTTTGACCAGTTGATGGGAAAAGTATTCTTAAAATGCATTCAAAATTCGGAATAATTTGTAATATATAATTATTCACGGTATTTAGAAGTGCCCACAATAACAATATCATGCATATTCATTACCGTGATATATCGCATTACCCAATTCCGGCACAAGTCTACCTGTAATACCTTCGTTCATCGTTGGAACACAAATTAAGATATTTTTGATGAAATCCGAGTTCTTTCTGATCCTGCTTAGACAACAATGCGATTACCAGAAAGGTAGTAAGGACCTCATTAAAATAGTCCATTTGACATCAGTGGTTCAACCGCAATTTTATGAAGCTACGAGAATACTTTTTGTGTGTAAAGAAAACAAAAATAGCAACTTTATTCAAAAAAATGTTTTTTCCCGTGTTAGTCTCCGCCCCGCATTCAGAAAAAGTAACACGACGGATGCGTGTGGTGTTGCTGATGCTGGAGCCGGTGTTCTGACATGGTACTGTCGTAAGCGTGTGTCAAAGTTTGAAACGGAAGAGAAAAAATAGTTGAAGTTGTTGAACCACTGACTATTTTTATCAATGTCCTGACTACCTTTCTGTGCCCTGAACGTGGTAGTTCCCTTGCTGTCTATGCAGGGGCAGAACGCTCTTGGATTTCATCAAAAATATCTTAATTTGTGTTACGAAGATGAACAAAGATCTTACAGGTTTGAAATGACATGAGGGTAAGTAATTAATGACAGAAGTTTAATTTTTGGGTGAACTATCCCTTTAAGAATAGGAACATTGATGTGCTATGGTTTTATGATTTTAAATGCCCTGCATTACTATTTACATTGGGCAAACATTGACTGTTTGGTCAGCTGCTAAAATAATTAGTTATGCAGGCCCTAATTTATACAAATATTACATATTTTTTAATTTTGTTACATGTTGCTGCCATAATAATTGTCTATTTCAGAAGCGTGTGTAATTTTGTTCTCGTTTTTCACTATAGAGGTGCGGTGACTTCCTGTATTATTCTTGACAAAATATATCTATCCGTATTTAAAATGAAGCAAAGCACAACAGTTGCCAGAGGGTGCTTGGTGACTTTGGATTGATCTCTTTTTCTAAACTCAAGACAGGTGGATTGGGACGGCAGTTCAATTACCACACAACCTCTGTTTGTAAAAAAACAGTAGGTAATGCAGCCAGGAGTTTTCACATGGATAGTGGAAAGAAAAACAGTCATTCTGGATATGGACCGCAATAAAATCATCAACTTACCACTGTAAATGTTAAAAAATTATCTTTAAAAAAATCTACCAGCATTCATCCGAAATTGAGTAGTTCCAGTTCCAGAAGCTGTGACCATTGGCAATACTTTTTACATCACAAAATATAAGAATAAAATAGAATTGTTTTTCTGTGGCAGAAAGAGAAAGCCAGAGATTTCAAACAGCACATAGTGAAATACCTGGAGTCCCTGCTTCACACACAGCATAGGGTAAGTGTTTGTTTACACCACTGTAGTGTACACACCACTATACACCACTGAATAGTCTTTCATGAATTGCTATTTATCTTAAACCAGCTGGTGAAGTGTTGGGAGGCCTTCCTGCCTGAGGCCAAAGCCATCGCTTGATCAGAGCCTTGCCTCACACGCTCCTAACCTTTGACCTTGACAACAGACAATCAACAGTTCTCTCTTCCTATTTCCTTTGCTCTCTGTGTGTGAAATAACATTGTACATCTTAATACTCGTTCATCGATAAGCAGATCCCCAGATTGTGATGGTAAACCTGTGCAGTGACACAACTGAATGTTGAGTGTAGAGGTTAAAGGGCAGAGCGGCATTAAAAAAGAACAGCTGTGTGTGAGGTGCAGCAAGAATATTTTTTTATGTGTGCACGTATGTGTGTGTGTGTGTGTTCGGTGTTATCCTTAAGGTTTTTAATGGTGCTTGGCCTGTGTAATGTTTCAGTAGAGACATTAAAGATTGTAATCCATTCCAGATAATAGAGAGAAACCCTTGAGATGTTCGCAAGGCACTCAACTCAGCCTGATGTTGCACCACATTCTTAAATTGATAGCAAAGTCAGAGTATGATATAGAAAAAAAAAAGATTCACAGACTATGAAGGGAAAATGTTTGGTGTCTTTTGAATGAAGTCCCATATTTTGTGTTGATAGTTTTAACTGAATTTGTATGTTCTCAAACAGTTGCACTGATCTGGACTGGTCCAGATAAAGGTCTACTTGCAGTATAGGTGTCCAAACATTTCTATTAAAAATTCTAAAAGAACTTGTTAAAACATACATTACAAAAAAAGTTTAATTAATTTTAGGAGAATGTGTAAAAACATTTGTACTGTGGATGCTTTGTCTTTAACATTTATGCACCGCTGGTGTATTCATGATATCACAATACCTTGCAGAAACTGGGGCTTCATTTATAAAATGCATTTATGATCAGATTTGCTCCTCAATTCCATGAATTTGATTCTATGTCAAAAGTAAGGAACATTGGGATTTAACATTGGGAAAAAGCATGTGTATGAACTTCTTGTGCTCATATACCAGTAATTAAACTCGATTAAGAACATGTAAAGATAAATAGGCACATTATGCATTTATATTCACAAATTAGCAATATTTTAACTGCTTTGTGATGATTGTCACTGCAATTAGCGAATTATATAATAATATAGCCATGAAGTGGTATTAGTGTGCATACTGTCAGTGTAGTTGATGTACTTCTTCACATTGCACATGAACTGTGATTTATTAAGTTATGCATTTAGGGACATTTTTGTGCATACAGACATTTTATAAATTGTTCATATGAACATTTCAGAAACTTTTGTATATTCACACATCACTAGATCATTCTACGCATGTCTATAAATGGGGCCCCAGGACCTTAAATGGCATGGATATTGAGGGGACACCCCCATATTCAAAGCAAAGGTCCATTAATGTTTTTTAAAGCCAGATTTACACCAATAATGAATTTTGCGTTATATGTTCTTGGTAAAAACATGTTGGTTTGAAGCTCTTTTCCTGACACTAAAGACTCTGTGCTGTTACACATGTATTATAAGCTTCCATTTTGACTTATTAACATGATGTTAATGACCTGGTACAAGAAAGATGTGGATTGGTTTAAAACGGTTGTCCTGTCAAACATTGTCTATTTGATGAAAATAAAACGGAATAAAAAAAAGTTGCTGTCATCTTTTCAGATTAAAGGGATAGTTCACCCAAAAATGAAAGTTCTGTCATTATTTACTCACCCTCATGTCGTTCCAAACCCATAAGACCTCCATACATCTTCAACATGAACGGAGATCTTGCGGGTTTGGAATGACATGAGGGTGAGTAATTAATGACAAAATTTTCATTTTTGGGTGAACTATCCCGTTAAGGACACCATCTCAAACCATCAGGATTTCATCAACTAATCAATATAACATTTGTTTAAAAAAATAGGCAGCAGTACAACCATGCATACATACATACATACATACATACAGGTACAAAATATAATAACATAAAACAACTGAAATAGCGAATCCTTTAAAATGAACCACAATCAATAACACATCAGTCAGAACATCTACAGCCAGATGTGACTGCCTCCAAGTCAGTTAACATCTTCTTAAAAGCTACCAATGAGACCAGCGTATTAATTTTCATAGATTTCTGTAATTTGTTCCATGAAGAGGGAGCAGCATACCTAAAAGCCTTTTTCCCTGCTCAGTTCTAACCTTTGGAACAGACAGAAGGAAAAAATCCTGCGAACGAAGATTGCAAGTCCCAGTGTTATTTACACTGATGTAGGTCAGAAGGTAGGATGGAAGTAGACCTAAAATAGCTTTGTATATGAAGATATACCAATGTTGAAGTCTCCGCTTTTTAAAAAAAATCTTTTAATTGATCACTGACAAGGGACTCTAAAACCTTGACCAAAACAGACAATTGTGAGATCGGTCTGTAGTTATTTAAGATGGAAGGGTCACCACCTTTTAACAGGGGAACCACAAAGGCTGATTTCCAGATGAAAGGAATGACATTTGTGTTTAAGCACAAATTAAAAATATTAGTTAAAGGCACTGCAAGTTTTCCAAAATTTTGATGGGTTATTTAGGTTACGAGTAGTTTGAGAAAGAAAATGGTCAGCTTTGGCTTTTCTATTTTTTAGAGTACATGCATTACGCAGTTGCCTGAATTCAGCCAGTCAGAATTCTGATTTGATTTTCTGGCTTTTGCCCATGCCACGTTGCGCTCATGAAGGATATTTGCTAAATCAGAAGAAAACCAAGCATTGTTTCGGCCTTTAACTCTGTATTTCTTTAGCGGAGCATACTTATTAATTATATTGGTGAACCCCTCATGAAAGAGGTTCCAAGCACTATCAACATCTGTACTAATATTATTTTTTTCCCAATCATAATTCGATAACTCGTAAAGGAATTCTTGTTCTGAGAAATGCTTCATGTTACGCTTGACTATAATGCAGGGTTTAATCTTAGGTATTTTAGTATTTCTAACTGTTGCTATGACACAGTGGTCACTAATGTCGTTTGCAAATATGGAAGCTGTTGAGTACTTATGAGGAACGTTAGTTAGAATCACATCTATTAGTGATGATTTTTCCGGATTTTTAATGTTTAGCTGTGTGGGACTGTCAACAATCTGAAAGAGATTTAATGAATCACAATAAGCTCTGAAATCATCAGATACTGGTTGTAACCAGTTCCAATTTAGGTCTCCGAAGGCTACTAATTCCTAGAGTTCAAATCAGAAAGGAGTTGCATTAATGAGGGCAGAGCACCGCTAACAGCTGAAGGTGTCCTATAACAACCAACGACCGTTATACAAAGTGATTTAGAAACTTTAAGCTCGGCGTCTTCACAACATGTCGGCAGTGGCAACAACAATACTACAGCGAGAATAAAAGTTACGCCTTCTTTCTTTGTGTGAACATTTGGGCAGCGTTATGCAAATCTTCCCACATAGTGAGGTAGATATGTGGGGGCGTGTTAGAACGAGCCATTTTAGGTAGGCGTGGTTAACTCTTAACTTTTATAAAGAATATCTCTTTGGATTTGAGACTTTAGTCTTTGCAACTTTGCAGATCTTCTTTATGCATCAAGAGCTTGTAACACTCCAAAGAGAAAGGAAAAATTTAAATCGCATCATATGACCCCTTTAAATCTATTACATCAGGTAGGCAAAATGATTTATTTTCTCATGTACCACAAGCAATCAAACCAAAATTAGGCATTCTACGTTGGTGCTTTGAAGAAAAACAGGCACGCAGCGCAACGTAATAATTAACAGAAAAAAAAGACAAGAATGTGCATCCTTTCTGAAAACAATACAAAACTTTAGCATAGCATCTTGTGATCACTCTGCCAGGCTTTCGGAGAAATGTGCATAGGCTAAATCACATCATAAACACGCTTATAATTCTTAATAAATGAAAAGAACATATTCAAATACGAGTCTTTACTGTTAAATGCGATTGCCGTTATTATTGAATTTCATTAGTCCCAGTTATGATTTATGTGCAGTTGTTCACAGAAAAGTGAGCAGGACATTATGATAGTTAAAATAGAAAAAAGACATCTAACCGTCATAACCAAATTAGGTTACATTTATTGTCATATTAAATATCTCAATACACATCATTAGATGACATTAAGCACAACTTGTGTAGATTTATTTAGTAAAAAGGCTTGACTGCTTCATTTTGGCGTATATTTGTATACTTTTACCATTTAATCAATCTCAGCATACGTTAATTTTGTGTCGCTAGACATTTGCATCACTGTTAATTCTGTTACACTTTAATTAAAACTGAAACTAAACTATATAAAAACTAAATAAAAATGCGTTCACAAAATAAACTAAACTAAAACTAACAACAATATTAATTAAACTAATAAAAACTAAACTGAATTGTACAGCAAATTGGAAAACGATATTAAAATAAAACTAATAAAAAATTTAAAAACTATAATAACCTTGGTTCGATCCACATCTAGGGGGTGGAGATGGGTGGGTTTAGGGATCAGGGGGTGGAGATAGGTAGGTTTAGGGGTGGAGATGGGTGGGTTTAGGGATCAGGGGGTGGAGATAGGTAGGTTTAGGGGTGGAGATGGGTGGGTTTAGGGATCAGGGGGTGGAGATAGGTAGGTTTAGGGGTGGAGATGGGTGGGTTTAGGGATCAGGGGGTGGAGACAGGTAGGTTTAGGGGTGGAGATGGGTGGGTTTAGGAATCAGTTGGTGGAGACAGGTAGGTTTAGGTATATGTAAGGTGGGAGGAGTTGGATCTGGATCCAACCACGCCCCCTGGATCTTGTGTTCTCTGCATATAGATAATATGCAATATATTATGAGTGTAGTAACCATTTTGGCTGGGATGGCTCATCTAATTTTTTTTTTCTTTTTGCACATTTACATTGCAAGTTTGTAAGTTATGTACTAACATGTATGTGAATTACTAACATGAAAAAAATAGGGAGCAAGAATAAAAATGGCATATTGCCTCGTGAACAAAAATGTAAACTGTAAATACTTTGACAGAGGAGCAAGCTTTCTGCCTTTCTGTTTTTTGAAGTATTTGAAACATATTCATAAAATCAATAAAATGATTTACATTTCTTCCATTTACATGATATTTACCCAACAAAATAAGCATGTTCACAAGGTCAGAAATCTAGGGATTCAATATAATCTTAAAAACAGGTCTTTAAATCTAAGGGAAGAATGTTATTAATTTACTTATTCATTTTCATAATCGCTGTAAAATTATCTTATGTTTATGACATATGCTCTGCTGTTATAAATGAGTTTTTGCAAGGTGGACTCACCTTGTAGGTTTCAGTCATGTTAAGAAAAATGTCTGTTTTTTCAGTCTCGTTCATTAACTGTGTGTAACGTGGACAGTCATCCAGAGGGAAAGAAAGCAGCTGGAAAGAAAAAAAAAGACGCACAAGAACACTGTAGGCAGGTCATGTAGCCATGGAAACAGATTTGAAACCTACAGAGACATTTACTGATGCTGCTGCTCAGCAAATATGACTTCATTGCTAGAGAGGTCAGGGCCAAGTTTCAGTGAGCCACAAAATTGTGGAGAGAAAAGTGGGAACAGAACTGCAGTGTGATGGGTTCTGCAGTGAGGACCATCTCCTAAATAAATAATTATAATTTGTAGAGTTTATTTGGGGTGGAGATGGGTTGGTTTAGGGATCGGGGGGTGGAGACGGGTATAGAGAACAGTTTTACCCACAAGCCATAAAATTTGTCTATAACGACTCCCTAACGACTGTCTATTACAACTCTATAATTCACAGTAAGTCTTTCATGGTTAAGTTATCGTTTAAAATATATTCCTCTATGGAGAAAACCTCAATGCTGCACTTGATAGGGAGTTTAAAAAAACTACATTGACACACAGTCTTCAATATATCATTCATTCAAAAAGACAATACTTAATAGGCAAGATTGATTGGCAGTTTTTCCTAATGCTAGATAAAGTCATGAGTGCATGTGTGCAACTCACCTCACAGAACAATGTGTCACACACACTCCAAATAGTCTCAATGTTGGTTTTCTCCAGTCCTGTTTTATTTTTCACCATCTCTATGAAGGCCTGCATAAAATGAAATTATTATGAGTGTAGTAACCATTTTGGCTGGGATGGCTCATCTAATTTTTTTTTTCTTTTTGCACATTTACATTGCAAGTTTGTAAGTTATGTACTAACATGTATGTGAATTACTAACATGAAAAAAATAGGGAGCAAGAATAAAAATGGCATATTGCCTCGTGAACAAAAATGTAAACTGTAAATACTTTGACAGAGGAGCAAGCTTTCTGCCTTTCTGTTTTTTGAAGTATTTGAAACATATTCATAAAATCAATAAAATGATTTACATTTCTTCCATTTACATGATATTTACCCAACAAAATAAGCATGTTCACAAGGTCAGAAATCTAGGGATTCAATATAATCTTAAAAACAGGTCTTTAAATCTAAGGGAAGAATGTTATTAATTTACTTATTCATTTTCATAATCGCTGTAAAATTATCTTATGTTTATGACATATGCTCTGCTGTTATAAATGAGTTTTTGCAAGGTGGACTCACCTTGTAGGTTTCAGTCATGTTAAGAAAAATGTCTGTTTTTTCAGTCTCGTTCATTAACTGTGTGTAACGTGGACAGTCATCCAGAGGGAAAGAAAGCAGCTGGAAAGAAAAAAAAAGACGCACAAGAACACTGTAGGCAGGTCATGTAGCCATGGAAACAGATTTGAAACCTACAGAGACATTTACTGATGCTGCTGCTCAGCAAATATGACTTCATTGCTAGAGAGGTCAGGGCCAAGTTTCAGTGAGCCACAAAATTGTGGAGAGAAAAGTGGGAACAGAACTGCAGTGTGATGTCCTACCTTCTCTTCATCCGCTGGGACAGTGTGAACAGGTATTGGTTGCCATTTCATATCTGGATTAAACACCTCAGAACCATTAGGTGGGAACATGCCAGCCAGGTTCACTTCTGCACTCATCAGAGTGCGGTCAACATCTGTACTTCTTATGAATATCTATAACGCAAAGACAGGATTACTTATTCTATTTAAACAAACATGACAACTCTACGTTTAAAGGAATTGTTCACCTTAAAAATTAAAATTGTCATCATTTACTCACCCTCATGCCGTTCCAAACCTGTATAAGTTTCTTTACTATGCTGAACACAAAAAAATATATATTTTGAAGAATTTTAAAGAATAAAACAGTTGTTGGTCCCCATTGACTTCCATAGTAAGGAAAGAAATACTATGGAAGTCAGTGGGGACTTTCAACTGTCCAATTACCAGCATTCTTCAAAATATCTTCTTTTGTGTTCAGCATAAGAAACTCATACAGGTTTGGAACGACATGAGGGTGAGTAAATGATGACAATTATAATTTTTAAGGTGAACTATCCCTTTAAGTTTATTAAATATGTTTAAACAATTTAAAGAGACAGAAACCTCATGTCGGTCATAGTCCTCACTCAGGAATCCGGTGTACCGTTTCTTTAAAAACTGACCCAGTTCGAAATGCTGCTTCATTCCCTCCTGAAATGATCAGAAGATTGAGTTGAAGTAATAAAAACACCCTCTTACTAAATCTTATGGTGAAAGAATGAAATAAAATCCTTAAAGGTGCATTCAGTAATTTGGCGCTAACTTAAAGTTGTAAACATTAAGAAATAAACTGTTTTTGTGAACAGTCATCTGAATGTGAGATGAAGGCTTTACTCATAACTATTTTTCTATAAAAAGTGTTGTAATTATGTAAGGGGCGGGTCACCCCCTCAATGTATACATAAACACAATATAGCACAGATACTTGCATGTCACTATATAAACTAAAGTCTACTTAAGTAGCACACAACCAATTAAAACAAAGAGCATAAAGTATGTGTGTGTGTCTGCATACTGTACCTGAGAGAGCTGTCCAAAACCCTGGGGCCAGTCACTCTCCTTATAGGGATCAGTTGGATAGGCCTTGATTGGAGATCTGTCACCATGACGATAAAGCTGACGGAGAGGAAGTCAAATACCCCATAAGTATTGGGGATTTATATATGTACGTATGTATGTGTGTGTGTGTGTGTGTGTGTTCAGGAGGAAGAACTACACTGTGCAACTGTGACTAGATCAGCAAATCCAACTTGTCATGTGCTCATCCTGACACCCGGACACAAGCCACAGCTGTGTGTAAACACAATCTAATTGGTTAAGCAGATTCAGTCTATCTCCTTATCTCTGTCTATCACAGAAATCAGCCATGTTTAAATATGTATCATGCATTAAGTTTTCAGTACTGGCTTGTGGCCTTCTCTCATTTACACTAAAGTCTATAGAAAGATTTACCTGAATCATTTAAGTAGGTGTTCTAGGAATGCATTCAATTATAGTCATGTTACACAATCACGCTTAAAACAGCACAACCCTCTGGTTTAAACTTCCTCATCTGCACTGACCTGATCGTCATGATTTACCACAGAACACTTCTTTTCACATAATTAAACCAGGTGTCAGTATCAAATATGTCTACCCACAAACATTTTTTTTTTATGTGGCACAGAGGTGAAACAAAATGTATAAACATTCATATCTTCAATATGATACAGTAACACCAACATATGTACAAAGTAGAATAAACATATTTATGTGTGCAAATAGAAGAAAAGTTAAACCACATCTTTAAATACTCTCATTTAGCATACAATCTGGTACTTTTATTATTGTGTATAAGCCTAAGCGATTGGAATTTTAGAGTGGGGATACACAATGGAAATATTAACCATTTTTGTTTATGAATTATTATATTGCATACAATATAATGAAGTTGGCACACATTCAAGAGATAAATGATTTTCATAACAAGAACTTTGAGAACAATGAAATGGCTTACATTTGTAGGGCTAAGAATAAAGGAACTTAAATTACAATAAAACAATTAAATAAATGGACAGCGGTTTCTTCTGAGATACCACAAAATGAAGATGCCTCAACATCGTCAGAACTTCCTTATAATTGGATATACAAAACTTGCCCATCAAAAGCCAGGCCTTTTTCCTATCTATACATCCAATACAAAAGAACCACAGTAGAATTTACTTGGAATAAACCTACTGGGATAGCTTGAATCAAAGCATTTTATTGCTTTGACTGAACTGGGAGGTGCACTGAAAGTAGGGCTGCACGATTATGACAACAATCATAATTGTCGATTATTCCCTTGAAATTGTAATTGCGATTATTAATTACGATTATCACAATTTACATTGAATGATGTTAATACCATTGTTTTGATGCAACTGCATGCCGTATTTTTATATGAAAATAAACAAGCTGAAAACACTAACTGAAAAACTTGGTAGTGCTTTTCTATAGTATTAAGCCTCAAATGTCAACTAAACAGCGGATTGGTTTCTTCTTTAAATGATAAAAAAATAAAAATATGAATGGTATTATAATGTTATACTAAAACTAAAATAATGGGAAAAACCATTAAGATAACGTGTAGAAAGAAAAAAACGCATCTTAAGCATGCAGGATAACATAAGTGGACTTTGAACGATTAATTGCCGCTTTGAACGATTACCTAATTGTGGCATCCATAATTGTAATCGCGATTAGAAATTCGATTAATTGTGCAGCCCTAACTGAAAGTAACAACATGTTTCATCATGTGATGAACTCAAATATTTAGTAAGCTGATAGGTTGGATACAATATCAAATAACCCAAGTTTAAGTCGAGAACAAGTTGTAGAGCCAAAAACAAAGTTGTGCATGTGCAAAGCATGTCAGCAGATATTGCCACTCACGCGCTGTTACTGTTGGATACCGTTTCAAACTAGACTGATATCACTGTCGATACAATATAATCAATGCAAAGCATTGAGAGCGAATACAACCGAAAAGGATACACAAACTCAGCTCACATTGTAATGCACACAAATATGACACATAACAAAGAGTCAGAATGTGTGTGTCATTTTATGAAAGGTTTTTAAGCCGAACGGATTTGTCAAAACAGCTGCAGACAGTACGTTAGTTTAATACCGCAGACAGATTATAGCTCCATTATACACTACTCACAACAGTGACAAACTTCAGCGTCCTTTCTCCACTGGAAAGTCTGAAAGTGCAGAGGAAAACGACGATCAGAAAACAGGACTTCATACTTGTGGACGAGCAGCTGAGGCAGAGTACAGTAACCTCATTGAACGGTCGTCGTCTGGCTGATCTGGCACACACAAACACAAGACGAGCTGCAGGGGTTTCCGGGTAAAAGAGGGCTCCCATTGGTCAACGCATTCTGCGACGCAAAACACGTACATTGATTGGTCGGTCAAAATGAAAACCCACTCTTGTTATATTTTTAACCTGATATCCAAGCCTCAAATATGGTGTATCTGAATATGAGATACTTTATTCTTAGCCCTACAAATGTAAACCATTTCTTTGTTCTCAAAGTTCTTGTTATGAAAATCATTTATCTCTTGAATATGTGCCAACTTCATTATATTGTATGCAATGTAATAATTCATAATATGATAACTGATTGTTTTCACACTTAATTTGCTATTTTAATTTTGAATGGTAATATATATTATTTTTATATTATTTTATTTAGTATTTTCATACAGACATTTTAAAATACTAGGTTCATCTAGAAAGTAAATAGCAAGGTGTTATGTATGCACAGGGTTGAATTATTACCGCTGTACCTGTGTTTACAGCATAGACTGTATAAAAACAAACGCGACAGCTCAGGTTCGCCTGTGAACGATGTTTTCGGTAATTGATTACAAAGGATCTGTGCTCTACTGGCTTTGTCTGTACGCTTTTTTTTGGCAGGAGGTGTTGAACACAGCAACAAATCTAAAGTACATTCGACCTTCTTTTCGGGAAATAACAAAACTATTTCTCACAATATTTATATAAAGCCGAACATACAATTTATACTGAATATTTAAACAACGTTCCTGCTGCTTAAGTGCCCAAACGTACTTGTTTCACTTGACATCTACGATTTCAAGGAGTATATTCGGACAAAAATATGAGAAAAAGGTAGGCCAAATCTGAGACCTCGTGTGGTTGTCTTAAACATATTTTAAACAAAACAACACTCATAATTTAAACACCACACAACTGTGTATTAATACACCACCCGTAAACTGTAACGCTAGCCTGCTAACTGCTAAATTTGAAAGCTGTTAGCATAGTTTCCTCATTCAAAAACAAACATCGTACATTTTATATAATTTTCAATGGTTACTTTATTCTATGACCATGAAGTTACTTTACTAAGTGTTTATAGCACTTTTATATCCCCTATCTAGCTTTAATAGCAGAAGATAACAGCTGAAGTCAAACATGTAGCTTGCCAGATGGAGGATAGCTCAAGTTGTCACAAGACATGTAAAGCTAATCCATGTTTTTTCACCCTGTTAGCTTAGGGTTGTATTCTTAAATGTAAATAACATTTTAATAATTTTATAAGTATATTTATCCATATAATACAGGCAAGTGCATAAAACTGCGTTTGCTGCTTACTATTTAATGATGTATAAAGACTATTTAATTATATAATTTTATTGATTTGTTGTCATGATTAGTTCTTATCTATTTTAGCCTTTCTTTTGTTGTTTGCTGAAATATATCTTGTCTTGCATATCTTACATGTTACCTACTTTCCCACCAGTTTGATTTGAGTAACATACCTTTGTAGCCTTTTTATTAATATTTTGTATAGTTTTTTAATGTATTTTGTATATATTTATATATGGTTTTTATTAATGTTTATTTTAGTTTTCATTATTTTAGTACATCAAGTTAAACTAAATGAAAATGTGAAATATTGGCAACTAGCTGAAATAAAATAGTTGATTTTTTATTTATTTGATTTATTTATTTTTGTTGGTGGTGGTGTTTTAGTTAACTAACCTCTACAATAAAGTTTCTATTTATCTGTGTAAGATATTAAAAGGAGTCTTTCTGCCATTGCATGTGTGTATTTGTAATTTTTGTAACAATCTTTGATTGTTTTTACACTGCTCTTCTATGCCCTGCCTATTCATGTGACACCACCAGGATACACCATCGTTTCGCTCTGTAGTGTTGATACAATGTGCGTTAAAAGTTCTTTTACACCTTGTAATCTCCTTTGACACCTGTGCTGATTGCGCAGAGATCATATTTGGAGACAATCTGTGGTGAGATACAATGCTGGAAGATTTAACACTGAATTTAAATAACGTCTTACCAAGAAATGGGAAATTGTCTCATTGTCACAAAATTAATATTGAGTTGTATTCAAGTTATGATGTGTTATATTTCTAAGACATTCATGAGCATTGATGGCCCTTTTTTTGTGGAAGTTTTATGACCATTTGTTGATCTCTTTGTCTCTCACCCAGAATGATGGCGTGGCAGTAGCAGTGGTGGTCTAGTTGTGTGTGAGCCGGTGGACGGCTCTGGGTCTGGTGTAAGAGGGTTGGAGCGAGGAAGAGTTTGTGGAGATGAAGGTGGGACAGAAGAACTCAGTATGTATCCTGTCAAGTCGAGAGCGAGGAGCACGAGGCCTTGCCTCACACAGGATCCTACAGCAGCTTGTAGAGGAAAAGACACAGCGCATGAAATGGCAAAGCCAGGTAACTGACGCACAGATCTCTGTCATTTGTTGACTTGGAGCCTCTTGTATGGGGAAATGCCTGCTCGGTACAATGTGTAATGTTAGAAGCAATAAGCTGCCTACTGATCTTACTGTAGTATCACTATTACAGGTTGTGATTCAGTGGAGCAGCTGGTTCACATAAACAGGATACTGATCCATCTTTCAACAGCGAGCGTTTTGTGAATCCCGTGGTGAACTCTTCGAGATTAGTTCAAGGTCAAGTTGTTCGAGTTGTCAATGAGGTCAAGTTGTTCGCGACCGGCCAACATAGAACATAGACGCGCATTATGCAAATGTGTTACCCTGCGGTGTGTAGCCGTCACGGAAGTGGGATTCGAACTACTAACGACTCGTTTCAGCTGTTCAGAGTCGATTTTTTATTTTGGGAGACAATAACTTTATTTATCGTGCACTTTCAGCTTTACAACTTTGCAGATTGTTTACATTCACATACAGCTACATTACACACTGCATGAAAGGCAATATTGGAAATGGCATAATAGGGGCACTTTAAGACAATTTTGTTTTTATTTGTTTCGCCAACTGTTGATCTTTAGGATTTATTTACTATTTGACATTCTAAATTAATAAAAAAATTCTAAAGAACTTCTAAATAAATACATTTTATAGCCATAGGATTCTTCTTTTTTAATAATTGTCAAAAATTGACTAGAAAAAGTACACACTACTCAGCACCCGTAAAGGGCCGTTCACACCAAGAACAATATTTATTTTAAGCTTGTGCTGCAGGCTTCTGCTTTAAATGTGTAAGCTATTTAAAGCTGGGTGAATTCTGATCGGCTGTCAATGTTTATAATGTTCATCAGCTGAAAACGATCATTCTCAAAGTGATTCTAGCAATATCATTCCTCCATGTCATTATTGCTATAGTTGTAGTGTGGACTTCACTATTCTCATATAATTAAAATGATTTTTAAAACGTAGTTATATCTGTCATTCATAATAGTTTTCGTCTTTGGCGTGAGTAGGTCTTAATACTGTGGTTTGGATGTGACTGAGGTAAAATCACTGCTCTATTGATTTTCTTTCGGTGTCACAGAAAGTGGAGTTACCAGACAGCCCTCGCTCAACCTTTCTTCTGGCCTTCAGTCCAGATAGGTAAGACAACTTTGACTTCTTTTTCATAGTCTTCAGTACAGATCTGCTAAATAAACTGACAGGCTGATCTCAGGCTTTTCTAGTTAGGCCCTATCATCGACAAGCTATTCAGAGAGTTTTTGCTATTTGTCTCTTCGCAGGTCTTTAATGGCCTCGACCCATGTGAACCACAACATTTACATCACAGAGGTTAAGACCGGAAAGTGTGTTCACTCTCTAGTGGGTCACCGCCGGACACCCTGGTGCCTGACCTTTCACCCTAGCATCCCTGGCCTTATTGCTTCTGGCTGCCTGGATGGAGAGGTCCGAATCTGGGACCTGCATGTAAGTCTTGACCATACGCATATTCAATGATTGTTTTGTCAGCTTGTAATCGTTCTGCTCTTTGCTTTAATATGTTTTTTTGTTTTCTGTAGATTAGTGGTCGACCGATATATCGCCATGGCCGATATTTGGCATTTTTTTTAATATTGGCATCAGCCGATAAGTTTTCCTGTTTGGCCGATGCGTTCAAGGCTTTTATTTTGACAGCGGCCTTCTCTCTCTTGTTCGCCGTCGTCGTTAACAGTTCTATCTAAGACGTCTGTCTAATAATCAGATAGAACGGTTACACAAAGGAATTAAAATGTATACAAAAAGTATTATAACTATTGCTTTTATATTATTAGTAATAGAAAGGCAAACATTATAATACTTTCTCATTTGCCATCAGCATTCAGCAAATACGCATTTATATAATTTAAACAAATCTTTGAATGACTAATGAACATTTAATTTCACAAAGCTTGCAAACTTAGTCGAATCCAGCTGTGAGATCTTATGAAGTGTGATTGCGTGTACTCTGCATGATGGTCGGTCCGTGTGAATTGAATGCGGACAGGAGGAGAGTTCAGCTTCACTGGAGACGCGTGATCGACAAACTTTAAACTAGTGATTTCAAATTATGCTGCGCTTTATGCATTTGCCCACTGCCATATGCATGTCATTTCCACTGTGTGCTGTATGTAAAATGAGTGTTACCTTGGCTTTATTTGAAAAAATATGATTCCCAATGCACACAAACTTCCCAGAATACTGAGTGCCCTGTTGGTTACAGTGTTTACTTCCTTTTTTTATTATATTTTTTATTAAATATTTATTTATTTGTGAAAAATACTTTGTCATCTAAAGTATAAGTATGTTTATTTAACACATTTACTTTTTAATTCATTTTCAAATGATTTGAAATTTCTTAAACATTAATTAAAATAAATAAAATTGTATCGGCTTTATATCGGCCACCCTGCTTTCCAAGATATCGGCATCGGCCGTCAAAAAACCAGTATGGGTCGACCACTACTGTAGATTTGTCACCACAAGTTAATTTTGCTTTTGTGTGGTTTTGTTTCAGGGAGGCAGTGAGAGCTGGCTCACAGAGAGTAACTCAGCAATTGCATCCCTTGCTTTCCATCCTACTGCTCAGCTGTTGCTCATTGCCACCAAC